AACCGCATGCTAAGAATAAAAGCACGCCAATGACTCACCACTAAGCAGGATCTGTACATCAACGAGAGCATAGTGGATTTCGGAGACGAATTCACCACGGGAGTGATGATAGCAATCTGAAAAAACGTAGATAACACTTTGATGGCATTGATCAAAATCGTAATTTCACCTTGGTCACAGCTTTCGGGCGCTTGTACTCATCATCTTGATTGAACCAGATCCGACACCATGCATCGTCATGTATAACGCACGGATACTCGCTGCCATTAACACTTTCAACGCATAAATACGTACTCAGAAAGCTTCATTTAATTAATAAGGATCCAACGTCAAGCGTCATTGTTCACCGAGGAAGGAGGCGTTGTGAATTTTAGATGAGGTCATGTTTGAATAGTTGCAAAGATCAAGTGCGAAGTTGAAAATGCCATTTTGGGTAGAGAAGTTCGATAGGAATGTGATGCGCGTGTGACAGAAAGCCGTAGGTTTATCGATGCTGGCAGCGTTGGAGGAGGCCATGGGGGAAGGGGTGGTGGGGGACTATTGCCACGAGCATGCTATCCGATTTGAAATTTGTCTCAACGTGGGGCTTCGCTCGGCGTGCATCAGAGTTACCTAGTCCATCCATTCACGACTATGGAGGCAGCAAAGGTTGACACGTTTGGAAGGAACTTTTATGAACAATTACCATTTTCATTTTTTTATTTTCCGGAACGTTTTTTGAATGGAAAATATGATCCCACAGCTTTCCTGATCTGCGCTAACCTTAGGCACTGGTATCTCCACTCATTTTATTTTATTGAGAAAAAAATTCAGCTGACTTCGGAATTCGGCCCTATACAAATTAAGACGTCTACAAAATATGAATGTTAAAAATTTGGTGGGGTTGTTTACAGTTTCATAAAGACTATCAGACTGTTTACCGAGACTGTAATCACGATTACTCAATTGTATTCGTGATTACAGTCTCGGTAAACATGCATGCATCAATTCACAGTTGTAGTAATACCATCCGTTGAAGTAAATCG